ATTTTCCGAGGTCCCTTCCAGCCCGAATGTCTATGAAGTCTATGAAATCCAAGTCACCACCTAGGCCTACGTGAAGTCCTCTCCAATACATACCTGCTCTCCATTTCCTTCACGGAGAGTCCTGCCCAGGGAGCAGCACTTTGCCCCGTGTTTCCCCTCTCTTGCAAGCGGAAAGCCAAGGGCGCAGCGGGGAGAAATGTCCGAGAGGGTTTGGCTTGGCTGCGTGGGACATCTGTCCCCTCGAGCTCGAGCAGGCCCCAAGGATTCCTGGGCTTGAATGAAAACAGAGACTGTGCAGAGCATTTCAGTGGCAAGCCATCAGCTGTGCCACCTTCCCTTCAGCTGCTGGCACCTGTCATCTGCTGACATCACTTAAAATGACCCAGGGCATTTAAATTTTTAAAGCCCATTCACCACAGCTGTTTTCCTAACACTCCCGCATGCGACTCTGATCTGCTCCAAGCTCGGCGTCCGAGTCCTCTTATATTTATTTCCGAAAGGTCCGACTCTTCCGAATTGAATTCGGGTGACCCCCACCCCTGTCTCCATGGGTTCGCTAGTGGCTAAACTCCTTCTCCCCACGATAAGCAGCCTGGTCTTTCTGCCGACCATCAGCATCGCAGCCAAGCGAAGATTTCACATGGAAGCCATGGTTTATTTTTTCACCATGTTCTTTGTTGCGGTAAGAGCTCCTTCCCTTACTTTGTGTTGATGACATCTTTGAAATCCCTCTGGAGGGTCTCCATTTGGACATTTTCTTGCAGGCCAAGATGATTTTTTTTTTAAAAAAAACAATTGAAGCTTATGAAATGCCAAAGGGGGAAAAATCCATTGCTTTACCATACATAATATAATTTCCTGTATATCCACTTTTTGGCAGGTTTGCCTCAAGCCATCTGAATGGGATTCTTCACTGTAGCATGTGCCAATCTTGTCCCGGTGTTTGTAGCTTTATCCGATGTGTGGGGAGTGTGGGGCACGTTTGCGAGGGACGGTTTTTCTTTTGAGGGGTGCAGATGGTTTGCTTGCTTCTTTCCCAGCTGGGATGTGGCCAGCGTACATTTTGGTTTTAAATTGTATTTCGAGTAACTTGACATTTTGTAATTTTAGACGAAAAGCAAGTGGTGGAAGTAGACTTTGCAATTGTTGAGTGAAGGTGCAATGAAAGCTGGAGAGGGGCACGGTTACAGATCGCCGGTGGAAAGATTGAGGGACAGAAACAGACAAAAGTTATTATTAACCTCCCAGTCTCGCAGAACTGCTTTGAAAATACAGCTGCTTAGACTCACCACCTATTTGCTTTTCCTTTCCATGAGAATAACAAGGGAGAAAAATCCTTTTGTTCATATAAATGCACCTACAATTTGATTTTTTTTCCTCGTAGACATTTGCAAAATGGTTAACTGTACTAGTATAAAGATCCACCGCATAATACCCAGGATGGGATTCTTACAATCATTGAGACAGTTCCCTTTTGGTCACCGTGCGGCTAGTGTAAGAACATGAACGTGAACGGTATTGATGCAGCATGTCAGTGGCAGAGCTGGGAATACAATCCGGCTGTCCAGACTCAGTGCTCTAACCAGTGGACAGCACTGCCACGTCCGTGGTTACAGAGGGCGGCCTTTCAGCATGGAAACGAAACAATCCTGCATGTATCTAAAGATCAGCTGGACTGGTTAATAAATAGTGCCAGCCCCAGTGTCCAGCCAAATTCCCTGGAGTAGCCCAGCCTACCATGGGGGTCCACAATTTCACTGGACGCCATTGTAGGGTCTAATGCAACTCTTTCACAGGTCAAAAGAAATCTTGGCCTGCGGTGAAGCAGCCCCATTGAGAACAGGTTGAAGATGTAAAATATTGATATTCTAAAAAAAGGAAGACAGTCGCCAGGGCTGTCAGGGTATGTCGGGAAGAGCAAAGTGGTGCTGCAGCTGCTGCTCTTGCCTGGACTATATAGTCCCACTCAACTCCCCCCAGCAAGAAATTCTCCAGACCAGTGAAAGCAGATGTCCATCTTAGACGAGGGCTCCTACTTGAGCCAAAAATGCCCCCCCAAAACACACACATCAAATCTTAAATCCTCTCAGAATTCAACACCAAAGCAAAGGAATGAGCCCTATTGGTAGCATCACTTGCTACAGCAAAGAGATCGAAGCAGGGAAGTTGTCACAATTCTCATCGTAACTTAATACCGGTGCCCTCCCAGACAACCGGCAGCAAGACATGTTTAAGGGCAACGTTGCCGAGTGGTTAAGAAACCAAATTAGGAACAAGGAAGCATCCAAGAGTTAGCAGAAGCAAATTAGGGGGGTGTACGTGTCAGAGGCTAAGCAAAACACTACCCAAGAAAACCCAGGAATATGCTTTGGGTTTTGCTGGTGAATTCCCTTTGATTTAGTCTGTGCTCATGAGAGCATTTTGCAAATATCTGACTAAATGAGTCTGTGGGCTGGAACATTTGCTAAGCTGGTGAATGCTTAGGACATACCGCAGAAGGCACTGGAGGGTAGAAGTCAACATTACCCACAGAGCCAGGAGAAAGGTCTAAGTATCAGATAAGTTCTCCTGGGCTCAGTGACACATTGACCCCTTGTCCAAAGGGGATTATCACCCAAGGAAACTAATTTTGAATTCATCCTCACCAAAAACATGATGCCAAGCATCACTCTCTAATTCCTGAAACAAAGTGCACCACGTGGCCTAGGTCATCATCATTCAGACCTACCAACATGCAACAGCAGGTTCCCACAATGAATTGCTTCCAAATCCACTACAGACCAAGACTCATTCACTGACATGCTTCAGCAAATGATTTTCCCTACTGAATACATTTGAGAAAGGGTGCCACTCTGCAGGTAAATCTTGAAGCCCGAGGCAGCCAAGAGGCATGTCTACACATTCAGTTAGTGTGCTTCGGGTAATGTGCATTAAATCTAATACCTCCATTGTGAAGTACTAGAAAAATGTGCATTAGCCTGTTTTAATGCACATTATCTAAAGATCACAGGGTTTTTGTGATGCTTTAATGAGTGTTAAAATAGGCTAACGTGCATTAAAGTGCATGTGGAGATGCATCCAGTGCTTCTTGCCCAAACCATTTATCACACCCAGCTGGAGCCATGACACTTGGGTCCTATTCCTGACTGGGTCACTGACTTATTGTTTGATCTTGATAATGGATTTGGAGTCTGAGCCAGCACCAAATGAAGTTAATAGGAGTCATTTGTGTCACATCCCTGGGTGCACCAAGTCATTAGGGCTGACCAAGGAGCAAAGATATAGTGCCATTACAAGAATATGTGGCCAGGTTTGCATTTATATTCCTCTTTTGTATTCTCTTTCTGATAGATTTACCATGCCTGTGATGGCCCTGGCTTATCAGTGCTGTGTTTCATGCGATATGATATCCTGGAATATTTCAGCATCTATGGGACAGCTCTGTCCATTTGGGTATCACTGATGGGTGAGCACAAGTTTTCAACAGTTCTTAAAATGCCACAGGCTTTGGGGCTTAGTATTTTAGGTGCTGGATACGTTGGTGTCCACGTTATCAGGGTTTGTGGGTTGTAGTCATGAAAGATAAGCTCTTGCCGACAGGCTCGTCATTTGCTGAAGCCAACTCTGAGACTTTTTCCTATGGGAGCCAAGTCAACCCATGTACTCCAGTTATAAAGCTAGGCCTTGGTGTGCCCGTGGTCTCTTTTGTCCTCTTTGAAAGAAAGATGGCTCAGCCAATCCCCTGCCTTACATGACCCTGCAGTGCCATAGTATGTAGGGACTGTGCCGCGTTGAACAAAGGAAGGGGCCTGGCTCACCCAACAACATAAAACAGGGAAGAACCAGCATGGAATAGTTAACTGGAAAATTAATTCAGTTTGACTACAATTAGACCATCACAGGAAGGGCTTAGCTTCATTCTTATTCTAACCACGGTGTTTCTACTGTCCTCCGTGGTGATTTGAAGAAAAACATAGGCAAATAAGATCCAAATGACATTCTCCACTGGATTATAGTAATGTCAAAGCAGGTCAGATGTGATCCAGACATTTTGGCTGCCTGCAGTCTGGCTACACTGGATTGCTTTATTATTGAATTAAAAAAAAAAAAAGTCAGGACTAGCATGTTTAAAATATTGGCCTATGGGGAAACAACAGAGATTAAAATGCGGACATTATCCCTTAGCCAAAATCCCTATAAAAATGCAATCCAAGGACATAGAAGGTGTGGTGGCTAAAACGCAGGGAAGCCTCTCAAAACATGGCTTGTAAAGACTGAATGCACATGTGTGTACGCACAGACCCTTGGGCACATTTCCCAGTATGCAAATCTGGGACAGCCATAACACAGCTGTGTGAGCTGGAAAGGCACAGAGCCCACAGGGATCCATAACTTTTATCAGTTATTACCCCATTCTGTGCTAAACAAAAGCCTCTAATAATTTACTTGCACTAGTCACTTACAGCTTCCAAACTTCAGGCAGGTGTCTGTCAGGGCAGCCAGTTAGGCCCAGTCCAGGCTGTGATCAGAACCTACCAGTAGGATTCTGGGCTGATGATGGATAGGGCTTGAATAGCCATATAAAGTCCTATGTACAGGTGATGTAGGGTAATTAGGGCAGAGGACTGGTAGAGATAAGAACTAGCTATGGTTCCCATGATGTCTGGACAATTGGCTTAATTGTGTCCCAGCGGTCAGCCTGGAAAAGCGAGCAATACATACTTCCAAGATCTCATGGGAAAGCTAATCCAATGACCACTACCCTGGAACATTTACAGAGTTTAGCTCACTTTTGCAAAGCCAGCTACGAGAGTATAGTCCTCTGAGTCCCACTGGAAGTAGCAGGAGTTGCATGAATAGAGTGTCTTATCCAGTTTTAAAAAATCTTGACTTTTGAGTTAAATTTTCAAACGCACCGTAACCCTTACCCAAGTTACATTTTCAAAGAGGAATCAGTCACCTTGGAGCCAAAATCCCTTTGACCTCCACTGAGAAGCAATCTCCAATGTGCCTAAGTCTCCTTTATAAAACGCAGGTCCTTAAATCACTTGGACAGTTTTAAGGGTAGTTTATCATAGATTCATAGATTAAGGGTCGGAAGGGACCTA